CACACACACACACACACACACACACACACACACACACACAAGCCTTGACACGGCAGGATCGACTCGTCCATGCGTCTCGTGCCAAACTCTCGTCACCTTCTTCTTTTCAACGTGAGACGAGTTGTTACAAAAGCGGACGACTTGACATTTAACACGCGTCGGTCGACGACTGACGCAAACACAGATCCACTTCGTCCAGCCGAGTGTTTGATCAGGTCAGAGCTCTCGTCGTTAAAGTAACGATGTTCTCTGAGTAACACCTGGTTGTTGTGTGAATCATGTTCAAACCGGTCCAGCTCACAGCTCAGCCCAGTGCAGGCTGACTACAGCTGGGAACAGAACAGGGACTGACTGGTCTTGATCATGACAAACCGAAGTTGAGATTAATCAGCAATTCCGTTTTATGGCAAATGGAAGCAAACGACCACAGACAGGAAATGGATTTTTTAATCGTTTGCTGATGTGGCCCTAAAAATGGTATTATTCATGTTCCTGCGATATGCTACGAACACACTATTTACTACCGTAATAATAGTCACTTCTAAAGGGATATTTACGCTTCTCTCACCTGGTTGAAATAATAAATTGACGTCAGGTACACCTCAAACATAATGACCTCATCCACTCTAACTCTTCGACCTGCAAACAGACTGCATGACGTTCATTGGTGTTTTTCACAGCGATGACAAAAATGTATGTAACGTGCAGAAACCTGCAGAAATTTTACAATCGTGTAGCTTTGGTGATTTGAAAGTATTCATTGTATGTTGTTGGACAAAACACGCCTCCTCGGTGACTAACCTTGAAGGTATTTTGGGAGGAGACCCTGTGACGGACCCAGAACACGTTGGAGGGATTACATATTGACGCCGTCCAATCAAAAACATGTGTGTCCAAATTTGGTGATTTTTAATCCAAAAGGAGAAGGAGATCTTTTATGGGTCTCTAAGTGAAACCACTACATTATTTTTTTATGCTGTAAACAAAATCACAAAAGGTGTTTTTGGACCAAACTGTTGTGGCGACTTCCCTCGAGAACTACAAACCTTTAAGGCTTTTTTGTCTGTTTGCATTCGCAGCCTCAATAGAAACACTGAAGTGATGTAAGACGACCTGAGACGCTCCCACACATCTCCAGCTGGGAGAACAGCTACTTTGCTACATTCCACAAACTCTCTTAGCTTTTTCAGAAATACGGAACATAAAGAATATATTAACAACTCTGTTACACGCCACAATCACGGAAACGCCATTAAAGTGCCGTCATGAAAGGACATTATGCAATTTCAGTTCAAATCAGCTATCGCTCTTTGGCCCCGTGGGTTAGCCGTTGTGCGACTGGGTTGGCTTTTGTGCTACTGGGTTTGCCATTGTGCTAAAATTACTGGGTTAGCCTTTGTGCTACGGGGGTAGCCATTGTGGACCGATTACCATTATGACATTATTACTGAACGAAGGTCCGTGTCTTCTGTGTCCTCTAACATCCTCTAACATCACTAAGTATGAAACCACGAGGCCACAGTCATCACCCACCACTCCACTGCTACATCTATTAATTATGCTGACAGGGAGGGTTCTAGCAGGATTTGAGGTTGTAGTGAGTCTTTAAGCTAAATTTAATATAATTTTGGATTATATGAAAAATATACATGAAAACAACCGTGACAACTTCCTACTTGACCTCAGGATCCATGAGGAAGAACTGGGCGACTCCCAGTAACTTAGAGAAAGGGGATAGTTTGACCTGTGTACTGTCGAAGGTATACTGTAGTACTAAACGTGTACTTGGTGTGGTTACCTCTCGCTTGCGGGTGCGAGCTTCACTCCTGCCCATTCTGGAAACAGCTGTTCCTTCTTCCTGCTCTTTGTCGGTGGCCTCTGATCCCAGAAGCCTCTCTGTGTGACATGTGCCATTGCTGGAAAACATGAACAGCTAATGAGTGAAAAACTGTATGTGTGGCTTCTTTGACCTCGCTAACACAGAAGTGGGTTCTGACATAATTTCCCCTCACTTGAACACCGAGGATGACAGCTTAATAACAGACTCCTAACAGCACCTGTGCAGAAGAAAAGAGCCCCAAAGACACCAGATCTCCCACTGTTATTATTGCTATTAAGAGGCTAAATAAGAGCCTACATCCTTCCACTGGTGTCAGAGGTGTTTTGTGTAGAAGTAGAGAAGGAATTACATTGACCGAATACCCCAAAGAAACCTGATATAATGTATACACAACTGTCAAGGTAAGAAAAGCACTGCTGTCATTTAAAAGTTGGGTTTAGTATCAATCAATGTGTGCTGTTGGGAAGTTGATGTCAACGACGACAGTAACATTTACACTCTTCAGATTTAAAGGGTTTTGTTTTGATTTGATTGCTTTGAGTTGGTATTTTCAGATTAGTTGAGTTTGTTTTGATTTCAGTATTTGCAGTAAATCTAAAATTACCATTTAGGTTATTTTTACACTACTAGTCTGACAAAATAAATGATTTTTAAGATATCAATTTGTGCACTGATAAGTTATTGATTGGTATTCGTCAGTAATCAGTAGATACTAATAGTGAATAGTAATCACTAAATACTAATAGTGAAAACAAGAGAGCAAAATGATAATGTCAGCATGTCAACATGCTAACAATGACAATGCTAACATGCTAACAATGACAAGGCCAACATGCTAACAATGACAATGCCAACATGCTAACAATGACAATGCCAACATGCTAACAATGACAAGGCCAACATGCTAACAATGACAATGCTAACATGCTGATGTTCAGCAGATATAATGTTGTTTATCATCTCTGTGCAGTGTGTTAGCATGCTAACATTACCTAATTAACAACAAAAATGAGAAAAAAATGTTTTCAAGAATTCGGTCATAAATCAAACACATAGATCACATAGATCAAACACATAGATCAAATGTTGACCTGATGAGGAAGAGACTAAAGTTATTACAAATCATCCTGAGGGGAACATGAATCACTCAACCACATT